ACCGTTTCGCCGCCGTTCCGTTTAGGCCGTCTTCAACGTTTCTTCCCGTCTTTTACCGTCTAGACGGAAAACCCGTTTAGCTGCCCGCCTAGGCCCTAAACTCCACGTTACCCTGTCGTTTACCGTCTAAACGCGTTTAGACGGACGTTTAATACCGTTTAGGAAAACATTGAGACTTGAAAGATTTCAATCCAAATGTCTTTGTGTCCAACAATCCAAGCATGAGAAAATAAAAAGAAAAGCGGAGAAAATTATCCTAACAATATTGAGTTTTTGGAGAGAAAACTTCAAAGGAACGATATTGGGGATTGTTCCTTAGGTCTGGAGTTTCGTTTTGATATATAGTGCGCAAAAAACGGAGCTAAAACGAGTAAAAACGAGCAAAAATAAAAACAGGAGTCGACAGGGTCGCGACTCGCGAGTTGACTCGAGAGTCGCGAGTTGGATGGGTCGCTGGGCTGCTGAGGCTCTGTTAAAGTCGCGAGTCGCGACTTTTCTCTCGCGAGTCGCGACTAAATCTCGCGACTCGCGACTTTGTGCTCGCGACTCGCGAGATTCTGGGCTGCACTGCGCCATTTTGCGTTTTCGCCTCGTTTGAGCTCGTCCGAACTCAGAATTGAGTTCCGTTTTTTCCTATGCGTCGCTAACGAACCCCTCTATCCAGTTATGCTCTCGAAACCAACTTTTCCTGAAGAAAAAATTTCGCCCAAATCTTTCGACCTACACACCAAAAACGACAAAACACAAAGGAAAACCGAAAAAACAAACAAAAAATACCTAATGACTCAAAATGAAGGAAAACACATAATAAAACACGAAACGGACTAAAAACTAAAAAAAAGACCTAAAATGGGGGAAAAAGAAAGATAAAATAAATACGAAAAACGCAACAAAAATGGGTCAAACAACTCCCCTACACTTAAACCTTTGTTCGTCACGAACAAAAAGAAAAGAAAGAAAAGAAAGGATACAAAACCAAAAACCCGAGCATGGACAACAGTCATTAACAAGATAAGCTTAAAATTGTTCAACTTCAACAACAAGCATTCAAATGGCATATACGAGCACCACACAACTACATGCTTGATCACTATACTTCGACATGACGTTCTCTCAGTATGGGAATATATATGTGTGCCTCACTCGAATTCTTATACAAATAAATATAGGTGCACTCAAATTGGTCGATAACAAGTTCAATTATATGCTTGCCCATTGTCTAACTTCTACTCTAAACCAACCAAAATCGAAACTAGTGCATCAAAAGGTCTTTTCGGGTTGTAACGTAGGCTCTTTG